GCGAAGAGGTCACAGAATGGACCATGATTGGCTTAGAAGATACCACCGCAGACAGAGAATTCTCCAGATGCAGCTGGCGATTTTGGAAGAGGATCATGACGCAGGAGTTCGAAGACGAGCTCACATGATGTGTCGGGGGATGACCGATTTTTCACCGGACAGTACAAGTGATCCAGGCCCAGAGATTGAAGAAGAAGATGAACCTGAAGGTGAAAGCATAGAGACGCATTACTACACAGGAGCAGAAGCAATGGGCAATCAGATGACGCAGCATGTTGATGACAAGATGGGTATTTTACTTAGTACCTTGCCATGAAGAAGTTTACCTACAGATGCAGTACAAACAGTGCAGACTGATGAACATGAAAACCGGAGAGCGGCAATGAGAGTGAAGAGGGTGAGACGGCGTGTCAGATGAGACGGCGTGGCAAGAACTACATCACTTTGAAAGTGAACCGGAGTCGGATGATAGCAACAATGCAGATCATTGATTTCAATTTGAATGTGGAATGCATGTCTTTTGATGGAGTGTTCTATGAAACCATCTGAACCATAGACACTCAGTGTTTGTGTGTGCCGTGAAACCAGCTGAACCACGGTACAATACGACATTGTTTGGGACAACGATAGAATTTGTTTTGCAAGGCAGATTTACAGTTTTGAGAGCAGTGGTGGATATGTGAAACCGTCTGAACCACGTATTCAGGTTACAGAATTTGTGAAGAGTTTCATGGGAATGGCATTTCGATGTCGGAACGGGATGTATCCTAGATACATTAGAGTTTCAATGCGGGAGACCTTGTCAGTGCTACCTTGAAGTGGTAGATCCCGCACAAATCAAGAAGTGTACAGAAAGAAGGTGATGTTTACACTCACACACGTGTAACATCAAGGCTGGGTGTTAACATTTTGCACACCCTTGTACACATGTATAGAGACCTTGATCTACTTGTGGAGTATCTGTACTTATCAGTGCGACCGAAGCGCGAGGTTCAAAACAAGCGTGCTACCAAACAGTGTGGCAAAGTCCAAATACAGGTGCGTTGACGACTATAGCGCCTCTCTACAGAAAGCTCCATGTTGTGTTCGGTTGATGTCCCGGCCGCAATTGATCGATCTCTGGATGCACAGTCAGGCAGGGATTCATTCTGTTGGGCCAGTAGCTAGAAGCTTCGACTTGAAGAGCGCTTATCGACAGTTGTGCTTGAAGCAATCGCACCGGCGGCGTGCATTCATTTCGGTGGCCCCAAGATAAGACCAGGAATGTGTTCCAAGCAGTGGTGCTCCCTTTCAGAGTGATTCAGAGTGTCTATGCCTTCCATTGTGTAGCCAGAGCAATTTGGCTCTTTGCGGTCAAAGCTTTGTCAGTTTGTTGGACAAACTGCCATGGACATGCTTTTTGAATTGTCGGGATGGAAGGTTGTTGTTGAGGATAAGGGAATTCCTTTCTCCAACACGCTTTGCTTGGAACATTTCACCTCAGGTTGTGTGACCATCTCGAGCACGGCCGACCGAGCTAACAGGTGTTGAAAGATGGCAAACTCAACTTGAGTTTGGCCCAATGCTTGGGAGGACGGTTGCAGTTTGCTGAGAACCAGTTCGCAGGAAGAATGGCTCGGAGGGCATTAGCCGCAGTCACCAAGCACTCGGTGTTGAAAAGAACAGAAATGTCTTTCGCCTGGAGATGCCATTTGGAGGACTTCGTTGGTGAGCTATTCAACGGGCCTCCGCGCGCTTTAAGGACACATACACTCGAGACACGTACTTTTCTTCACAGACGCTTGTGCTTCGAGCCAGACAGGAGTGAACCAGTCGGGGTAGGGTGTGTCTTAGTTGGCCCTGGCGGAGTTCCTCTTGAGTTCATCGCTGGCTCTCTCATGCTAGCTGTGTGTGAAATGTTGGGCATGGGTGCCAGAAAGACAACAATGTTGGAAAACGAAATGTATGCATTGTGGTAGGTCTAAAAGCATGGAACCATAGGTTAGCCGCTACACAGTTAGTGGTGTATGTCGACAACGATGCAATGCAGGGTGCCATTCGAATTGGTATGAAGGGATGGGGGCAATATGCCTGATGCTTGAGCACATCAACAGTCTCGTTAAGCTGAAAGAAGCGGAGGATGTTCTAGGCGGTATCCACACACATGAAGTGCAAACAATTGCCCGCAACCTGGCCGGTGTCAGAAGGTGGGTTGTGAGTCGGGACTCGACTGCCATACTGATTGCTTTCTTTCAACAAGGCAGGGATGCGGAGGACCTTGATGCCTCGATCCCATTATGTGCTCCTCCGGTATAGTGGTTGGCCAACAGTAGTACTGGGCAAGGCATGGCAGGGCTACCGTAAGCAACAGGAGATACGTGTTTCAACTACTTAACATATGAATTAAATACTTGACAAACCAGCGTGGTCATCCAAATGGGAGAAGGGCTGCATACGTGTGGTTCCGGCCTCTCTTTGAGTCTCGGTCATGAGTGGTGAATGTGGCAACACACCGCCAGAGTTGGTGCCATTCTGCAGTGAGTTGGGAAGGTCAGTTGGGTGACAATCCTGTGCAAAAGAAACCAGGTGCCTGGAATGGAAGGATCGTCCAAGTGAGCGGAGTATTCATCCATACCTTCAACACCCGCCGGTTGCAGCTCACCCGCAGCAACGCCATAGCTCTTTTGTGTCGGCTCAGTGAGGATTGTGCTTCGGTTGGCAGGGTATGGGTATGATATCTGAGGCACAATGAGTTGAAGTAGGGGGCCACTAGTTCTCGGACCGGAACATCAGCCAAAAATGTTCTTGCGATCTGCAAGAACCATCCTGTGGTACTTTGTTTTCACTGCATGAATCTTGAATGGAAGAGGTTGCCGCGGGCAGAAACTTTGGGACTTGTTGTTTGGCAAAGGCAAAGAGTGCCTCATGGTCATAATGCAGTCAGCTGATGAGCGGGAACTGAGTTATATTTGGCAACAATGCCGAACCAGGACACAAATCGAAGCGGCGGCCCTAGTTTGACCATTGGAGTTGAGCATCAGCAGATTGTTTTGCCAACTCTTGGATGCTTCGAGTCCCTTCAGGAATGGGAGAATATGCATAGTCATGGACCAGGGAGAGTAGTGAGTAGTGCACCTGCACATGCTGAAATAAGATTTAAACCCGGTTGAGACTGAGAACTTTGCAATGTTCCGAGCAATCATGGGTCATGGTCCAATCATGACGCATTTTCCAAGATCTAGGGGCTAGCGGCTAGCGCTGTTTGGAACGGCTGAGACATGCCAATTGATTACGCTAATTCTACACAGGCCCCCCTCAAACCCCTGCAGTATAGAAACCAAGGGTGGAACCGTCTAATGGTGGATTTTTGAGATCTGAGATCATGAGAAGGGAAAACCCTTGAGAACGGAACATCTTTCTCCTAGTGTGTGAACAGCGACAAGGGGACTTGTGGAAGGTTGCTGAATTTTTTGGAGTTGCAGGCGATCACCATTGCAGTGTCTGGAGAAACAATTTTTTTTGCCTTTAGCTTCAAACAGTTGACTTGGACCAATGCGAAATGTTGTTCACCAGAATTTCACCCACAAGAAAACCATCATTTGATGCATGATGGTTTGAGAGTGTGAATGGTTAGATCCAATCACAATTTTGTCATTCTTCACCTTTCAAACACAAAACTTTCCAGCTTTGCTAGCAAATGGCCAATCTTAATGCATTAAGATTGGAATCTGAACTGTCTCGTGCTGCAGAGTTTCTTCTCAAAGCAAGACCTCAATTGAACTTCACTGGACTTCATTCAATCAACATGGTGCAAAAGACATAATGTGTTCAAGGTGACGCGAACGTTCTACCCAGTTCATAGTGATTTTCCATGCCATGTTGAAAAATGCCTTGGAGTTGGGGCTGGTTATAGCCGTTAAATTTTCATGTTGCAAAATATCGGGGGCTCCATGTCGGCAGCTGGCGCAGGCGGACACTGGGGGCGCAGGTTGCCATGGAAAAGAAAGCAGACATCCACTCACTGAAACAGAAACGTGTTTCAACTGGTGAAAAATATGACCACCGCCAGATCGCCAGTGACTCAGGCTTTCACCTTGATAACAAGGACCTCGATAGCAAGGGACTGAATCATGCTGAGGGTCTGAACTTTAGTTGCAGAATTTGGGCAGATGCTCACCTTTTGGCGAGGGCGCCGAAACATGGATCCATCGAAAGGCCAACCATGGTTTTGACGGCCGATGGGACGTTGATTCTTATATACTCGTTGATTCTTATATACTTTCAGATGGGGGTCACCCGCACCCATGATAGACCTTTTTTGGGCTGCAGCCGACCTCGGCTCAAGCCAATCAGAGGCTTGCGGGATATTTCAGGGCGCTTGAAGAAAGCCCAGGCACGTTGGTAGCTGCAAGCCAGAATGGCCAACAAGCCGGCGGTACTGTACCCGTAGAGCATGCACTAGATGAGCTTCATCAACTGTTGTGGAAGTGAAATATGTACTTTCACTTATGATTCCTCCATCCTTTTCTAACAGCTGGATGTGCCAGGGAAGTCATGGGGGCCTACAAATATTTGGAGGAGATGTGGAGGAAGAAGCAATCAGAACCTTGGATTGTCCGTAAACACAAAGATCCTGCAACAACCTCCCCAAAATGAACATGAGAATACTTTCCCCTATGGGCGTGGGAGAGGTCATGCGAGCACGCCGGTTTCGAGGGGGAAGGTGTATTGAGCCTGGTTTTTCAGACAAGTTTTTGTCTTCCTCAATCAATGGGATGAGTTCACCGAAACCTCCAGTGCTTTGCTGTGACCCCAAGTTGTTGAAGAACCATGACGGCTGGCCATGGGGTGGCGAGCTTTGTATATTGACTCGCCTTTCAATGGGGACTTCAACACCACTGGGATCTCCATGTTCTTTCAGAGGAGTGTCTTTCGGATGCTTGACCGTTGTCCATTCAGGTTTCTGTTGTCTTGATGTGAAAGATCCATGTTTTGCCACTGACATCTTGGCTCAGGATGTGATGCGCTTCCTCGCACGAATGCGGAACTGGGAATTCCGCCAGCTGCCACTTGAAGCAGAAGGGGTTGTCAGCTTGCTCTGGACGGGGTCCAATGCAGAGAAGAAAGCTCTTTGATCTTCTTGGCCAACAGAATTAACAAAAACGACGAGTTCCTTCAACGAGGGGTACTTGGAAATTTCCAGCGAAAGAGGTCATTTCAATAGTAGCAGCACAAGTGTGACCACAGATGATTGTACACAGGGAGATGGAGATGGGGCGGGGAAAGAAAGGGAGGGCAGAAGGGCAGGAGGGAGGGAGGGAGGGAGGGAGGGGCAGAGAAGCACTGCACCACCTGATTCAAAGCCTACTACAGGAACGCCAACCAATGCACGAGCTCATCGAACTTCTGGTTTTAGGTCAGTTTCGGAGGTTCTCTTCAAGATTCGATTCCTTTCTGCTTGTGATAATGACTTTGGTGAAGGTCAAGGTCTTTGGATGTCGGGTGGGTTGACCCTTTCAGGCCGGCCGTACACCGATGCTCTCGGCCTACACGTCCAGACAAAGCACGAAAGGTGGGATACAAGGCCTTCGTGGGGACGAGAGAACTGTTTCCTCAGGTGGTGTCTTAGTCCTTTTAAAGCTCAAATGCTCAACCATGCAGGTTGCAGGTGCATTGACACCACACCACTTACATGATGTTCCTGGAAATTCACTTGACATTTTCCTTTTTCTTTGAAGATTCTGCCTGAGGATATGTGGTAGCTGCTTGAACCATTCCTTCTTAAAGACACCTACAATTAAAGAAGTGAGTTGCAAAAGTTGAGACGTTTCCTGCCTCACAATTCCAGCTCTGCAAGCTCTGTGCTTGAAGGCAAAGAAAACCGCGTCCAGAGCTGTTTTCAGGTCGTTCTAGGCATTTCCCAGACAGGTCGTTGATTGGTCAGCCTCGCTTTAGAGGCCAAGCAGGGCTACTGCATTTACCGTGTCCGCGTGAAGCGAGGGGACCGCAAGAAGCGTGTGGTGCAGGGCCCAGCTGACAAAAATCTGAGAACTGGAAGGTTTGGAGTCCTATTCCAGAAAGAAGGGAGTACAAGCGGAACAAGAAACAAGAGATCAGGCATGCTTTGCTCGGTCCCAGGCCAAGGGCATTGTCTATGGAAAGCCAGTCAACCAAGGCATCAACAAGTGGAAGGCGGAGAGTCGTCGTCTTGTAGCTTTCTTTGTCCTCACTGCTTGGACTGGGGTGACTAGGTTGACAAGAAAAACAAAGTGCGGGAGTGGTTCATGTGGCACCAAAAAGGGTTGACGTCTCTCCCGTTGGCAGGCCGTGCGGAACCTGCGGAGCATCGCAGAAGAACGCGTCGGTCGCAAGTGCGGAGGCCAGAGTGGAATGCACACGGCGTACACTTGTTCGTAAGGTAGTTGGAGCATTCGTGGGTGCTGGAAGTATGGAAGTGGGACAATTCTATGGTTGGTCCAGTGTTCAGGTTGGGTGGTGCACATGCTTTGCTTAGATGGGTTGTGGTTCCTCAGGCACCCTGATTGGAACTCCCGTGAAGACAAGACATGATCGCTTCAGTGTCACTAGTCTTTTGGCCTTGACCCCATGCTGAGCAAGACACATGCACACATAGGGTACCAAGACATCCTCAAGAGCACACCTTTATGTACATTGCTACATGATTTAGTAGATACTTTGCGAATCCCACATACCCCAAACACCTTCAAACCCCGTTCAGCCTTGGTGTTTGGTCCTGAATGAGGACCCGCACAGAGCTCTGCCTGAAGCCGTATGTTGAACACTTTGAAAGTTCCTGCTGGTATGCAGGTCTTCGAGTGCTGAACTCCTACTGGGTGGCCCAGGAGAGGTTTGGAGAGAACTCTTGCAACAAAGGCATCAAACTCCAAAGCTCTTGAGACCTCCGAGAGTATCCCCGCTTGTCCACCCAGGTCGAACACGGAAAAAAGCTTCGACTTCCAAAGCAGCTGCTGTTGCCACTGATGCCATGTTTACTAGTCCTAGTTTGGGGTGTTCGGATACCCACCAATTCCGGAGTTAGAGGTTCAGCCATTTTTGCTCAACTGGTTTCAATTTCGCAGGATGCTATGCACAAGTGGTACGAGGTGATCATGGTGGATCCATTCCACTCGCTCGGGGCTAAAGCTCAGAAAGATTGCTTAGCGAGAAATTCAATGGACATCACGCCCGCGATTTGGGTCATGGGTTCATTTTTGCCACTTTGAGCAAAGTGGATCAATGCATGGCACATTCTATTTGCAGGTACCGTCCGAAAAAGCATTGTGCCTAACATCTTAGCAAGCTCGCATTTCGTAGCGCTCAGGGCCATTCGCAATGACCCTCGCATCAACTGGACTGCGGGCCGTCGGGATAAGGCTTCAGGTGTTGACGTTGTTCGTCAGCAGTGTCAACACTGCTGATTCAGATGCCAAGCATGAGCACTCAGCGTTCAAGTACATTCACTCCAGTTCAGGCTTTCCACTTGCGTGTCTGCAGTTTTCTGTGCATCAGCCAGGATCTGCAAAAACACCATGAAGCACCGCGAACTCCGGGGCGTTACGGCTGCAGGCCGCAAGGCGTGCAGTGACCAAGGGGTCCTGACAAGGGCAAGGGGTCGACCAAAAAGAGAAGTCAATGAAGCCGTTGATGTTTGCTTCGGGCCCCAGACCGACATGGTTCCGGGGTTTGCATGTGCAGCGCGTCAGGCTCGTGGACTTCTCAAGAAGGGCAAGCGTGCCACCAAACTCCGCCCCTCGGCCCGTGCGGTCTACCGCTGCTTGGGCTGCAATTTCTGGAGGGTGGGGTGGAAGACGTTCCTGATTTCTGAGATTTCTTGAGGAAAGCATGATAGGAGCTGAGCTGTTTTCATCTTTCCAGAACGATTGCTGAGGGGGGAAGAACGATAAAAGCTCTCTTGTTAGGTCTCAGGTTTTGAAAAGCGTTGCTCGAAAAGAGCTCACGAGGTCGCCACAGCCTCATGCGCCTCCGTCGCTACCGCTAGAGGATGCAAGGTTTGCTCGCGCCCAGAAAACGTTGTTTTTTTCTTTGGACTGCCTTCACAAGTCAGGCTGGTTAAGCTTGGATGGGTGTTTTTATTGTTGCCTAATTGAATTTGTGTCAAGGTTTGTGAGCTTCGATATCAAGCATCTCAGCTTTTTCAAACTTGTGTTTCAATTCTTGCTTCTTCAAACCGCAGCTTCTGGAGGTCTGGACGACACACGTTCCCCAACAACAGATCCGATCACAAATGATGAAGCAAGAAACAGCTATTATTATGCAACATGACTCTCGCAGTGAACGTTTTTGTAAAGGTTGTACATTACATTACATTACCAAAAAAAGCAAATTACAGAAATCATTGAAACAACTGCAGAAACTATGTTTGATCAAAAAAATAACAAACATCAAAGAGCACAGACGAGGGCAGGGCAACAGATATGCGACACTGTGTATACACAAGACTCGATGTATAGTAATATAGTAATATGTGAATAAGTTAACTGCAAATTATGCTGTATGACAGTATTCTTGAACATTCTATTCTTGGGACATTCGGGGTGCGCCATGCAGCCGATCAGTTGGCTGCTCTCATTCACTGGCTTTCACCGGCCAGATGCCTGGCACGAGCGACCGGTGCCAGGATCACCTGGCATCAGACGCTCGGTAGAGAACGGGCGGGGCAACAGTTGTACACACACATATATATATATACACATGTGTATACTGTATATATTTACATAATGCGTATTAGAACTTTATCACTAGGATTGAGCCACGAGGGTCTTGCGGAACATGGAGGTTGGAGCTTCCAATGTGAAGGACGACAAAATTTTTGTATTATGCGAAACCGCGAAACCATTTTGGCACTTGTAACTGTGTCCAATTTCTGTGCATGCGAGAACGGCGGCGCCGGACTTTGACTTCGCCTGATGATGATGATGGAAATGGTGATGCGCCCTGGCTTGATGGACTCGTTTCTTTGTGCGAAGCTGTCACTCACTTCGAAAGCGGATTTGCCAGAGCAAGCAACTCCCTTTTGCCGGCCTGTTGCATGGTCCGAGGCAAAAGAGGTTGACAAGGCGCAAAAATCAAATTCCTCCTTCGAGGAGGAGACGGCTATCACCAAGGTCTTGAAGTGTGGGCCCTTGAGTGATGTTCGTTTTTCCTTGAGGCTTTTGAAAGGTTGGGGACCTTCTTTGGGCGGTACCGTCTACATGGAATGCTTGGGCTGTTGATTTCTTCGCTCGTTTGATATTGACCTCCAAGGTCGGTGGACCCGAGTCTGCTTGATGACAGCCCTGGTGGTGTCAATGCCTTGACCAGAAAAGGCACAATCTTGATGACCATGTGCAGTTGTCTCGGATTTCATGCTCTCCGCTTCTCGATTGATTAGACTATTAGACATGTTGATGCCTAGGGTATGAGGGACAACTGGTGGCAGGCTAGTTTCCCTAAAATAGGAACCAAATCGTGAGCTATCCTGCGTCCTTATGTAGTAGCTTAAGTAGCTAGGAGCGAACTACTCCCTTACTTAATTAAGTAGGCACCTACTTAATCAAGGAGGCAGGGCCGCGGGCACAAAAAAAGTATGGTACAGGTCCTACAGGGGACAGGTCCACAAACCTTCATCAGGTGATTTGACACTTGGACTAGTCATCCTGTTTACGGTGTCGATACCTCAATTGGTTTAATTAAGTGGACGAGCATGACTTTTGGAAGCGACTGCCGGGAAGTGACCAGTAAAACCAAGGCTTGATCCTGCGTGATGCCTTCTTCAGATCGGCCTCTTCAACTCGTCCCAATACTCTTCTCAAGCGCAAGGTTGCTGAAGCTTGGTGTTGCAAGGAAACAAGGTATGTTCAAGGAAGTGATCATAGTTGCGCTGGTCAACTCACTCGTGTTGCACAATTTTTCCCGATATCCGATAGCTGAGGAGCATTATCTGCTATCCGCAGTCTCATCTTGATTCAGCAAAGCGTTCACTTCATACAATGTATGCTATGACTCATGCATTTTTTCCAACCTTTTTCTAGGAAGGTGTCAACTGCTCAAAAGCTGCTGGCTTTGGAGGAATTGCTCCTCGTCTTGAAAACACCATGTCTCCACCCTTCTTCTCCCAAACTGAGGCAATCCATGCATTTGGGTGTTCGTACTTCAGCCTCCGGAAGTTCTTGAGTGGGCGCTGGAACTCGCCTGTGGGTTTCTCGACCTTGTGTCGGGTTTGAAGTAGAAGAGTGGAACAGCCGAACTACGCGGAGACCTGTCCTGCCCAAAAAACCGGAGGCCAAGACCGAACCAGACACTATCATCCCACTTCCAAACGACCATCTACAACTGTCTCTGTCCGCATGAGTTTTCTGCCCTATATAACCCCCCCAAGTTCCCTCGTCTGCAACATGGTCTGACAGCATTTCCTCTGAGGTTCCGAGGCCATGCTTTGCTTCTCTTTGGGATGCTCAGCGGCACATAGTCTCACAGGTAGTGGAAGTGGATTTGGTTTTGATTGTTGTGACACTGTTGTATTTTCTCCAGGAGTCAGTGCCTGATGGACCAACTATAGGATCACCTTTTGCAGCAGTAAGCCACGAGACTCCTCACCTGTCAGTCAATTCATACATGATCCTCTGCATTTCCAACCTTGAACATGTCAAGCTTTTCCAAGTGACTTTAGGTGGTGTTACCATGTTGCACGTTCAGCATTTGTCAAGCCGCCAAGCCAAGGATATACAAGTTACACTCTTTGCGCCCTGAAAACTCAACTTTTGTCCGATCCACTCTGGGCACTCAATGAACTCGGCAATTTCGTGACTTGAATTGTCGGTGAGTGCTTGGGCTGGGCGAGCGAGAGGCACCCCCATTTCCACTGGTTACTGGATTGAGTCGTGCATGTTTTTCGACCTCGAGTGGGGCTTTGTACTTTAGTTCCTAGGGCTTCACCCTTTGACCAAATCCCAGAAGTCAAGGACGACAACGACTACTGCGGTCGTCGTCGTCGTCGGCGTCGTCGTCGTCGTCGTCGTCGTCGAAAGTATCAGTAATAACAGTAGCTTTGGCTTTTTTGTGTTTTGGTTAAAGGCAATAAAAACTTACGGACTCCACTCACCAGGGCCCGTGCTTGCATCTATCTATATGCTCAACTCTAGTCAAGTCTTTTACGTGTCTTCTGTAATCAACTTATATATGTGTTTGCCGGTCACATATTTTTCCCTATCCATAAACCTAGCCGACCTATCCTTTGAAAGGGCCTTGTTTTTTGGGTACCGCCCCACCGGGGCGTCGTGTTTGACGCTCCTGATGGACACACCCACATTTTGGACACTTTGTGATCTTGTGCTTTTGATGTTCACTTTTTACGCTTCCGAACATACTCATCCCCATAATGACCAGCTTTACAGCAACATACAGCAACATTGTCATCGGCTTCAAAGTATTACCATCGGGATTCATTACCATCGGAGAGCCGGAGAAGAGACACGTATCTAGGAGTCTTGTAGGCTATTGGATTGATGCTAGATATGGTTGGGGGGTCTGTTGGGAGCGGGGGTGCGGGTGGGATAATGACGTGGCGGCTGATTGTGGTGTTATTCAGTGGACACATGCAATGCACGAGTATACACAGACTACATTTGTTTGTGCGCCGACTACCTGCCTATCTATACTCTTTATTTATGCATAAATCAGTGTGTAGTCTTTTTGCCGTGTCCTTTCTTCAACCGATTCATTCCGGCCTAGCTCTCCATCATTCTGTCGGTCCACAAGGACACGACACAGCCGTATCCACTTTGCGTGTTCTAGAGTAGAGAACTGCCCTTGGCTCCGAATTCTAAGCCTCGAAGCTTTACAACAGCTCCCGACCCTCCAAAATTGGAGGGCCAGGATGCGTACAACCTTGACGTAATCCGTGAATTTTCCCATCGTGCTGATCCTTCCCACCGGCACCGCTAGTCCTATATCATTCAACTCCTACATAATAACCAACCTTGTGAGATCACATTTGGTTACCTGGGAATTCCTCATTTGTGGCCTTCAAGTTGCCAAATGTTGGGCCTCTTCTCTCCTATGGCCTTTTCACCCTGCACAACAAGTCGGTTGTTCTCAAGGTTTGAGCACAGGTGACTGGACGGACCTGATCCGAGGTGAAGATTTGGTCTTGTCTTTTGGCTGAATTGATGGGCGACAATTTGGGGTCCTGGAGAAGCTTCAGAGGCAAACCATTGGATCCGCATCACTTCCAACTCATCCCTGCAGCAAACGCCTTGTGCCTGTTTGTACCAGAAGCATTTGCCTTTGGCTTCATTTGTAGCGAGCTCCAGAAAGGTACAGCTGAGATGCTTTCTGAGGCTTGCGTGCACAGGGTGTGGGCTGGGTTGTCCCCATGCTGTTCTCTGCGGAGGTCCCTACAGTGCCGCGGAGAAAGGACTGTGCCAATGGAAGCACACTAAAGACTTCTCCAAGTTGGTAACACGCAAATGAGGCTTTAGGCTTCGTTTCTGTGAGCACCACGTTTCCTTTAGTAAGACTTGTCCCAACACCTTTGCAAAGCACAAGCACAAGCAAAAAAGACAAGCACCTAGGCCTTCTTGGATACGCTCCGCATGTTGGCAGAGTTCGGGATTCAGCCATCGCACATTGTTTGGCGCATGTTCCTAGGCAGGGGAGCGCTGTGAGATGTAGTTTCTAAAAACAGAGGATGCAGGGATGGAATGGAATGAGTGGGGGCACAGCATTTGTTGGGGCAGTTCGCAATAGATCACTTACTTGTTGTGGTCACCTCTCATGGAGCTGATAGCAAAAAAGCAGCTTTTTCAGCACAATGGTTTGATTCCCCATCTTCATGCTTTGGAGTGGGGGACGTTCTTTTGGACCTAAACCAACAGGCTATCTTTATTGTTGTTTTTCGCACAAACAAAAGATTCAAGAGGATGCGAGCCCAACCGTTGAGATCCCTCCCTTTGTGCTTCGAGCCAGGAGCCTTCACCCTCAGCTTTGTCTCAGTGAAGGCGATTGCCCTGCCGGCGATTCTGGGATGTGGCCTGACAAATCACTGTTTGCCAGTGCTGGGTGTGGCGGTGGGGCTGGCGGTTTATGTGGGTTGTTATTCAGCTTGATGATTCTGAATGACCATAGTTTAGTCGTTCATTGGTGCTACGCTGTCTACTTCTTACATTTGTGCTGGTATCTGAAAAGGATGCTATTGGAGCCAAAGGGTTAAGCTGGAGAACGTCGCTGGCTTTGCATGAGTGATCAATTAAGTTCAAAGCTGCCTTCAAAATTATGGCAACATTGCAACATCGACGGAAGGTGGCAATATCAAGGAGGGATCGGTGCAGTCTAGATATGTCAGATTATGTCAGTTTATTCTTTTTGGTTGAGGGGGTACTTTTTGCTGATGGCGTGCTCACCGTAGGTTTGCAAAGCGGCAAAGCGGTCTTTTGGCTCTTCGTGCTAGGAGTTGAGTGTAGGCCCTTTGCCTGTACACAATACATCCTGCCGGTAGGCCAATGCGTCTCCTGACTTTTCTATTCTTGGTCTTCATTCTTTTGAGTCTTCGTGTAGTTCGTCATCAGGACCGGAACACGACTGCCGCATCTGATCGGTATTTTTCTGGTTCCATGGCTTGGTGCACACACTAAGTTGTGTTTGCCCCTGGTGCGCAGATCTGTTGAAGTCTGCAAGGAGTGCGTAACAACTCGCCGGCTGAACTGTCTGGCTGGCCCCAAAATGGACGGCGCTCAAGCAGCGACCGATGCCCAACCACTGACATAAATACAGTTCAGTGTGTAGGAGGGTACAGGGGTTGTAATGCAGCTCTTGTGAATCAGCTTCTTGTGCAGATCTTGATGGTACAGTAATAGATAGTAATAGTAAATATTGCAATCAGAACTTGGAAAGCTGCAGTGGAGAAGGGTTCCGTGTGAACAGCAAGTGGTCCTGCATAACTGGACTTGGTTAGTCGATGCTAGTGGGGTGGAAACTATTGTACGGTAGCCTATGGCGCCGCATGGGGGAGTCCTGGGAAGCGTGGTCCTTTCGTTCTTGCACACTTTACCTTGGAATCAGATTGTTTGGAGACGGGTATGCATTCCGCTGACCTTGCGCTCAGACTTTGTTCTTCGTCCACAAGACTATCCAGAACTGCATCAGCCAGCTTTCTTGCCAGCGAAGCTCGCCATACTTGCGAGAGCTTTCCTGAACTACCTCTGGTTAAGTACCATGGCTGCTGTTTCAGTGAAGGTGGGTGGTGTATGCTTTGGATGCCTTGTGTTGCGCAAAAGGTGGCCTCAAAAAGTCCGATTTGTTATGCGCGTGAGACCTCCAAGTTGCCAGGTACACAAGTGTGGGTTGTCCCCTTGAGTACATATATTATAATATATATATATATTACTTGCCTTTTCTGTTCATAGAATTCATCTTCGATGGAATTGACTACAGTACACTAGTAAACAGATTTTGTCATTGATCGCCCTGCTGCCACCTTGTTTGATTGGTTGATTCGGTCAGTTTCTCCCAAAGACGTCACTGTTGGGCAGACTGGACAAAGTTACTTCCCCTCTTTGTCAGACTCCTTTGACTGGACACATGCAAACATGCGGCTGCTTATGCAAATGTTCCAGGCATCGTGGCACGTCATTGGGTTCCGACGCGACATTTCCACCCGGAAGGCCTTGGGAACGTGGGAAGGTGGAAACTGAACGAGGGAGGTTCTGTCTTTAAGAAGAAATGCATTATATATATATATATGATCTGTATGAAATGGGTATCCTGAAAAGCCGGAAAACAGACTGAAACCTCTTCACCCAGACCTTCCAGGTGAATACCTGATCTCGCGGAGAGAAGAGCGGCTCCCCCGCCTCCGCTTCTGAGCTGAAATGGATAAGATGAGGTTTGGCTTCGCTTGGCCGGCATTGCCGACCTCAGGAGAGATTACCCCCAACATGGGACAGGTGATCCAGCATATCCGGAAGGCACATTTGAGGATTGTTTTGGAAAATGCTTTTTGCAGCTTACTCTTCCAAGCATTTTGCCCACAACGCTTTCCACGGGGTTCAGCTGGGAGGCCTACAATCCAATGAGCCTCCTATTCTTCTCTGTGCTGCAAGGCTGCTACTTCGTGGGGTGCCCAGGGTGCCAGCATTAGGAGAATTTAGAAGGTGTGCCAAATTTCACAAAACCAGCGAATAAGAGTCACCCTTGCGAATAAGGATGCGACTACAGGAACATCATTTGTTTTTTGCATGTTTTTATCAGATATGAAAACAAGAGATGAAAAAAAAAACGGGTTAAGTTGGGCGGTTGTATGCGTGCAACACAGGCTAGTCGGGTTTGAATTTGGCTTTGCTGGCCAGACACTTTGAGCGCGGCCAACCTTTGTCGGAATGGTTCAAACTACTGACCATTTACAATTTCAATGAAGTGAGCATTTTTTGGAAACATGTCAGTTTCTTATGTTCTGTGATAAAGTGGCAAGCATCGTTCTTAATGAACACAGCTTGGAAAGAGAGAAACACAATGTGTAGGTACCAATATAACTGATGAAAGGGCATCGTTGATGAACACTTTCTTGCACACACTGGTGCAAAACATGCAACATACATACACATGCTGACTAGCATGTTGAGGGAAATCCACCAGCAGGGTGTCCAATGTGGTTCAACTAGCACACAAGAAACAACTATTTATAGTACTTAATACATACACAAGAGTCGCAAAGGGAAATGCCATGGAGCTGCATGCACTGGCAACCAGCGCATGGAGATCCTTTCTCGCCTGCGGGGACTGCATTTTTTCTAATGGCAGTGCACCGACAATCTCGCAGTTCACGTCTGGAATGTCTGCAGTTGCAGAACTGGTGAAACGTTTGGATGTCTTTTGGGCTGGTAATGAGTCATGAGCCAACCTTTTGACTTTGTGTATAGTTGTTTGTAGCACTTAGCTTCCATTCAGCCACTAGCACTGGACCGGCCGCTCAGGTATCCACAGTGGCATTGGCCAACAGCGATGCACCAGGTCCAGAAAGATCCTCTGCTGTGCAGGCTAAGCAGAGTTGCTCGCATTTGCGCCCTATGACGGTTTCATGTGGGTCTGGAAGACCTTTCTACAACATGGTCCAATTAGTGAAGCTCCTGAATGTGTGGCCCAGCTGTACGTAAGTGAGCCGCGTTCCATTCCCTGGTACTCTAAGTTAAAAAAACAAATCTTCTTCAAGAGTTCGTAAATGTGAACGAATTCATAAGATGAACAAACATTGGGTTTTAGTTCATGGCCTTTTGGTGTAGAAAACAACAATGTTACAAGGTTCAGTTCAGAGCTAGAGTTCAATGCTTTTCCCCGTGTCATCCTTGTGTGGCAAGATCACTTGGTGTTGCAAGCCACCTGAGATTTTTAAAATGAACCAATCCTCCGGCTCCCATTCTTTCTGGCATTTGTCAGGTCAGTACACAATACACAAGAAACATCAAACCCACACTGGCACTACCACCACCTAAGGTCAATACATCTTCGAGACGCTGCATCGCTAAAGAAGACGGTCGAAGGCGTTTTGGCCTTGGTGTTCCAAGACTATGCGAAGGTTGATGTGCCTTCTGCTGCGACTCTGAGCAGAGCTCGACGGAAGGTTGATGTTGCGATGGTGTGGGTGAGACGCCAACAATGGATAACCACAGGAATGGCCAACTCATCTATCCAGTTGAGCATCTAGCTTTTGTTTAGACAAACATGTTGGTTCAATTGCTGCAGGTTTTATTTTGACTAACAAGATTATGCTTGGGCATGTGTTAAAATAAGGATTTGCTTGTCATCGTTGTTGTAGCGAATCTAGAAAAAGTAAATCCCAGAACTAGAAGTAGAACCAAAGCCACATCTAGATCTTCGTTCAACCAAAGCCAAACCAAGGCTATGATGCATCAACTATGAAGAAAGAACTTTTTGTGGTGGAGGAACATGTGGTGAGGCTGGATGCGCGGTGACCCGTTGATATGCTGCAAATGAGCGGCGCTAACTAACCACTTTGTAGTTGTCACTGCCATTTGCTCCCATAGATCTAAAAAAGACTAGCGATGTAGTATGATGTAAGCTAGAAGATGGTTTTTGATGTTTTTGGTTTAGATGTATCACTCGTATCTCAAGCTTGGTAGATAAACAAACCAGCTGTATAAGCTAAATAGAAGATTGTTTTTTAGATATGATGTAATGTATTGATGTATCATCGGCTTCTTCTTGTATGAACCCTGCAGTATCAAAAGCGCTGCGTCTGCTTTCTTGGGGTGGCGCAAAGCGTGGTCATCCATTATGGATGACGATGATGATGATGATGACGCCGACGCCGGCAGCGCTGATGGTGAGCAAACCCAAAACTTTGTGCATCCACGGGAGTTTGAAATTACACGGCGCGTCCTTCCGCCCGTGACGTTGGGACGAGGTGCTTGCGCGATTGCGACGGCGTCATCCGGTGGTTCAGTACTCTAGACTCTAGACCCCAGGTTCTAGGTACAGTTGACTGCTGCTTTTGCTCAAGCTCTCAGCTTTTAGACTGACTGCCTAGGTAGACTCATCCCGACTTCTGATTGTACTCTCCAATGGCTGATCTTGAGACCCCAGCCACTTTCCGGAAGACGGAGACTGGACGCACTCCTGGCGCCAGGGCCAAGGATAGCAGCATGGAAGGAACATCTTGCCAAGCGCAATTTGATACCAGTTCATTTACTTGTGGCTTGTCCAACAACACAAGCTTGCAACTGCAAATCGGTGTGACGGTGGGGGTGAAAGTCATTACAACTACAACCCCTCCTCAACCATCGCCTTCCTCTACAATTTCTCCTGTCATTCCACATGGAAGTGGTCAAACGTCTGCAGAACCTATGCTGGCGACACCGCAGACCATCCTGCCTGTCGTGGTATCTCCGAAGGTAGAGTTGGCCTTGCCCGCACACGCTGGACCTGTGCCAATGATATTGAATGTCAAGGCCAACACTCAGCATGTTGGCCAACCTAAGCATCATCCAGACAGTCAACCAACGGAGGCCTATGACGGTATCTTTGATGGCTTCGAGATGCCTTGTCTTTCTCAAGCTTCGAGCCTTGAACAGGAAGTCATTGATCCGGTGGAAGAGCCATTGACAGCTTGCTGGGCTTTGATGCCACCATCGCCTGACAAAGCACATACAGATCAGGTTGGTTCTTGTTGGGAGCCGGAAGCGGAGGCCATTAGGCATGGAAAGCCTTTGAAGGCCAAGTGGTCCCACATGAACCAATGAATAGACCTGGTTCAACACGAATGAGAGCACCACGCCCATGTCTTGATTTGGGAAGATATGTGGATATGAGATAACTTGTCGCAGAAGACGACCTTGCTGGCAAAATAATTGGGTTTATGGTGATGTGGTGGGATGGGTACCTTCAGTTTTCAAAACATATGTTTTTTTTCACTGGCATGGGTGACAGTCGCAAAATAGGCGGGTTTTGGTATTGGATCACATGTTTTCCATGAAGGGCTGATGGATTGGCCTGGCTGGTTGGGTCTTTTTTTTTGGAACACAGGGTGGAGAGGGAGATGGCTGAAAAAATCAACCGCTCAACATTCAACACTTGTGTTGCTTGCACCTGGTTGATGTTGCAACACAAGCAAAACAAACGCTAATCATAAAACGACCAAATGGCTCTCCAACATCCTCGAGGGGAAAGTATTTGGAACACATCCTTGCTTTGCAATTTGCAGGTGCCACTTCATTTGCACACAAAGCGGCAGCCCTATTGCACGCCATCAAGTTGGAAACTGGGGACCACATCTCTGCTTACTGCAACCAAGTGGTTGGATGCCTTTCCGATCAAGGCTGGGAATGGGGAATGACTTCTTTTGGGGCTGAATTGAGAATGATATAAGTTGTTCCACTCTGTTGTGGATTCTGTTGGCTTGTATCACGTTAAAGCCCTTTAGGAACCGAGATCTTACTTGGGGAGATGCCAGCAATAGATGTTTCAAAGCTGGCAATGGATGATGCAGCTGCTACATCATCAAGACCAGCAATTTCCATTGAGGCTCAGCGAGTCAGCGAGTATTACTTTTCAGTGAATGAAAGGGTTCTGGGTCGTGGGTTGTAAAGACGCCAAATCTTGATCTAGTGTATCTTGTGCATCTAGGATGGGCATGGATGAGTATCTAACAAACGTCCATAAACATACTGCCTTGGAGGTGTACAAACTCCGGGCACTTGCATAACAAATAGGACTCAATAGAGGTCAATTGGCCAAACTTACATATATATATATATCATGATTTGATCAAAATAACCATGGCGACTGGCCACCAAGGAATCCAAGGACATCACCACAGACTATGCTTTGCTGGAAGACATCGCGGTGGGCATACAACAACTTCAACTTCCTGGCCACTTGGCATCTAAAACCCCAAACTATGTTCCTTACATTTCTTGGCAGTTCTTTTTTAAATTTTCTGCCTCCCTGACTCCCTGACTCTCTGGGCCCTGACTCATTGTTGCAGTGAGGCCCTGCACCAAGGACGACGAGCAGTTCCACTTCCTTTGCTGTGGAGGTGTCTTGACCATGCAACAACCAAGCACAATGCACATTGCAGGTGTAACAATTGTGTTTAGTAGATATGTTTGTTTGTTTGTTTGTGTAACAATTTGTACAGCGAAGCCAAGATTCCACAAGCCAGGCAGCACTGCCAGCGCCATCACAATTTCCTTTCCTCCCTAAGGACACTGTCAATGCCGTCCGTGCTCAAGCATGTCAAGCCACTGCAACTGTGATGGAAGAGTCCACTATGATTTCCAGGATGTCTCTTGCTTGTAGTTGGCCCTTGTTCAACCCCGGGAATGTCAGCATCAGCTAGATAAAGGTCAAACTGCTGCGCTTGGGCAAAAAAATAGTTTGCATTTCAATCAACAAGCCTACATTGGTTATGACAATCAGACTCAATACTTGATAACACAGGCTACTACAGAGGCTATGGACTTTGCTCGCTGAAAAAGAACACAACTGTTTCTGTCCTGTGGGGCCTTTTGTTGTTTTGGTGTACATCAACATCGACATCAACTCACGATGGAACATGTAATAATGGATAGGGTTAAATGACATGCCATATCAAACTGA